CAGTGCTGATCTTTACACTCACAATAGCTACAACAATGACTGCGAACGGGAGGCAGTAGCAAAGCCTGGTCATTACCTTGATGTTGGCTATGACGAAGACGCCAGCTACAGCACTATTGACGAAATGCAAGAAGCGTTTGCGTAGTATCGTCGCGCATACATAGAGAATATCATAGAGGGGGACTTTGCTTTAAAAAAATGCTTGATCTTTTGGTCGTTTGCTTGGGTTGCTTTTCATGTTCACGTATACCAATCACATCGATCTACGTGAGTTTATGATGAATGTCTGACGTGTGTACTTGACATAAACAGTGTACATGATTACAAATGACACCTTAATTTGACACCTTACTCGTACATTGCAAATAAATTTGAAACCTATGACTTCCTCTCTAACTATGGTCACCTCTGACGCGTATCAGTCTCTCCCAACACTGCTGCCAATTTGGTATCATTTGTAATGTTAGAGTCTTTTTGCGGAGGAAAACAACAGAGCTTCAAAAGGAAGGAAAAGAAGTAGAAGAAATCCGGATTTCTTCCAACATCCTGCAGGTCAAAAGTTTATTCATCATGGTATTTCACTTTATGTCTGGGGTGTTGGAAAGGTTTCCACGTAATGCTTCGCTTTCATGATAAGCCAAGCCGAAGAGGACAACCCTGACAATACAAATCTTGTTTCGTCTGCTAATCCATGAATAAATAATTGAAATGAGTGGACATAATGATCAGTTTTTAGATTCAATTGAAACAATGTTCTCAATAATTCACGGACTTCATTTTCTTTAAAAAGTTCATTTAGATTTCCCTTGCCAGTAAATACTTACATTACCGTTTATGAAAATATTAAATATTAATATTGCAAGTTAATTTATTGCTGGCACCATTTAAAATTTTGGTGAGAGATTGGAGGTGATTTGTTTCAGATTCTACATCTCAAACAACAATTGTCACAATAAAATTTGAGTAATTTACATCCCAACTGTTTTGTGGGGGATTTTTTTTCAGGCTAAAGTAATCTTGAAACACAGTTTATAGCTGTTTAAGATATAGTGTGCAGCCTCACCATTACACCACAGGCATTACAAAAGTACACATTTACCAAACAACTAACGAAACAAACATTTCAGACCACAGCGTAGTTTTCTGAATTTGAGGGAAGGGGGGGGTGGATGGGTATTGTCAGAGGGTGGATAGCCATAAATGTAGTGAGTAGATGGCCATGCCATTAACGTTGGCAAACGGTTTCTTTGGTTCTACTTTTTGTAAATTTTTTCAAGGAAAGAAGGGCCTCTCTCGGCGGCGCTGAAGTATTTTGTGCTTAAAGAACTCATAGCCTCTGCGAGTCGAGCCCAAGGGTCGGTGGCACTTGAGGAAGTCAGTCAGGAGCGAAGTGTCTACTTAATCCAATAAATTACTGCTTCCCTTCCTTAATTTGAGAATATTGTAACTGTCAAATTTACTCATTGACATAGGCCTTACAAGTTTAAACAGACGTTAGTAAACCTACGATAGTGTTTTATTGATACTTCCACCAAGTTTCCCCTATTCGGGCCACTATCAAAAGCAGTCACAAACGCTGCCTGATTTATACATCATGTTATAATCTAACAATCAGGCTGGTCGAGTCTACTTCTAAAGGCAAGGGGGACAAACTCCGTACACGTTCATGGCTGCTGTGAGTGTTTGGTGGCTTAAAAAAACCAAATTCAAGGCTAACTAACAGCTTGCTCGATGGTTGAAACCAAAAAGTAATGACCAACTTGTGTCTATCCGCAGGCGTTTTATCGGGAGTGGTCGCCTCTCTCGGGTCTGTCATCGTCATCATGTGTTCGTTAGGAGTTTTCCTGTTTGAGAAGAGGTAAGAGTGATAATAACATATAAGTATACATATATACATATTGATATTATGTCATTGTAACCGTAGACGTTTTGTGGCGCTATCGAAACCATTTAGACAGTTAAAATTTAGGCGGCGGGCTGCTTCAACCGTGCCCGCCAGGGTCAACCCGAGCTAAGTGGGATACAATGTTCCAGCAGAGAGAAGGAGATAAATGCACTCGACAATAAACCTGGCTCACTCGGGAATCGAACTCACATCTTCTGAGCGAGGATAGACGCCGTTAGGTGGGATTTTAAAAAAAAGGGTTGAGGTTCATGATCTCTAACTCTACATAACACATGCATCGAAAACATGCCGATTTTATTATAAGTATGTAAAGGATCCCTGCCAAAAGCACATTCATAAAGCCCAAGAAACCCCCGACCCCACCTCAAACCAAATCGTACTTCTTGTCCACCCTCTCGCCCTTTCCTCACCGCTTT